AATGGAAACGACTATAGTATAGTAGGGTATACATTGGGGTCATAGTAGGGAATAAGGGAATGGAATCCCTATATAACTGCTATATAATATACTCGCTTATGCCCCACTAGCCCTCAGCAGGTTGTAGGCCAAGCTATGATCCTATAATCCATTACATAACCCTATATAATCCCAGTTTCCATTTCATTTTCCATTTTCTTTTCCATTTGATTCTCCATTATCAAGGGGGATACTAGGAGTTTAAACCCTAAGCCCTAAACCCAGTATGAACAGTCCACGGTTCAAGCACAGGTGCTGTAAGTTGCTCAAAGCTTTCCGGAGCTGCTCAGGCATGACAGACTTCAATTGCCAGAAGGCTGCCGGGTGGGACAGTGTTCGATTGAGGATTTGCGAATATCACGTTTGATGGCAGTTTTTTGTTGTTGAAGAGCATTGTCCCCGAAGATGAAGTGTGAAACTTGTGCAGGTAGGCGCTGACCAGTGCTGCTGCTGGTTGTGGGTTGGGCAGTCCAACACACCGACCGTGTTCAACACAAGCAGGCCAGCACGCGGGTCGTTGGCAAGGGGTCGCACCAAATATGTCGATAACACCCCCCGCCGATGTTGTGTGAGTCCAGGTTGAAGGCAGGGAAGATTCTCAACTCTGCCTGCGACTTGCAGAGTTACCAGCGGTGCGCTGCCTCAGATTTTTGTCCATGTGCTCGAGGAATGTCAGATGGCTCAACATTTCGAAGGTATGACGTGCTTACCATGGCCACTGGAGTGAACCTCATGTCTGCTGGGCACTTGGTATGATCTAGGGTTATATAGGGATAATGGAGAAGAACATGGAAACTACTGTAGCTTGATAGGATATTTATTGAGATTATAGTAGGGGATAGGGGAAGGCATTATATGGGGATGTTGGGGTTTGGGGTTTACACCCTAAACCCTATATACCCCTTTGCCCCCCCAATACTATAATCATATACCCATTAGACCCGGAACCATATACATCTATATGAACCCCTCTGTATCCCCCGCAACCCCGGAGAAGGTTTCCTTGACCCCGCCTTGCAAGCATGTCTGCAAATGAGGCCAACACCTTTGCGCCGGTGGTGTGGGTGGGGTGCTCAGTTGTGCTATAGTCTAAACTCCTTAAGGGGTGGTTATGTAGGGATTATATGGGGAAGCTTTTTGGTGAATTTGGAGTTTCCCAAAATTAGGGGTACACTTTTGGGCCCCCCATCATCGGAAACATAGTATTGGGGGGTCCCCCTATTTTGAGAAAGTACCATTTGTGGATGACCTAAACCCTAAACCCTAAATGGTAGTTTCCATCTTATTTTCCATCATCCCAATATAACCCCTATACAACCTTAATATTGTGAGTCCCACCAAGCGTGGTTAAACCCCAAACCCAAATCCCTTAATCCTAATCCCCAATCCCCTAAACCCCAATCCCCTAAAACCTTAAAACCCTAAACCCCTAAAACCCTAAACCCTAAAATCCTCAATCACCTGGACCCTAAACCCTGGTTGAGGACCAAATCTTCGATTTCACGGTGCCAGAAGGGCAACTTGCCACACCTCTTGCCTTCGAAATCAAGGCCTGGTCGACCAGAAAGGGTTTAGAGTTTAGGGGTTAGGGTTTAGGGTTTACGGGATTAGGGTTTAGGGGATTAGGGTTTAGGGGATTGGGGTTTAAGGTTTAGGGGTCCCAAATTAGGGCTATCTTTAAAGGGAGATATAGGGGTTCTATAGGGATATATAGGAGGGATATGTAGGGTTTAGGTTCCCAAGTTAGGGGTATCTTTAAAGGAAGAGGGTTATAGAGGGGTTCTATAGGGATATCTAGAGTCCCCCTTCAGTAGATAGAATATGGCTTTGGGTATAATATAATAGGATCCCCATGTACCCCATATTTTATCTACTTAAGGGGGACTATAAACCCTAAGCAAATTGCAGGTGGACATGAACTACCAGGAGAGATGTGCCGGGGTCGCCCAAGAACTTGCCTGCAAGGCCTGCTTGCCTGGCTTTGCCTAAATTAGGGGTCCCTTTCAAGGGGGACATATGGGATATGTAGGGTTTAGGGTTTCACAAAAACTAGGGTTACCTTTTGGGGTTCCTTATGAAGGGGATGGGGTTTATATTGGGGTCGCCTTACTTTGGGAAGCTACCCCTTCTTGCCTGCACATGAAGACGTGTTGCTGCTTGTTGACAAAGCCTGTGATGGTGCTCCAGATTGCCATGTCAGGAAGAGATGAGATCAGAGCTTGCGGCACTCTTGGGCGCACCAGACGACATGATTGTCATAACGGCCGTCTACGAAGAACAAGTACCGGTTCAACGGTGAAAGCGCCTTGGCCTTGTGTTGTGCAACAGCACTTCCGCACAGCGGACCACAGAATGGAGGACACGGCTTAGCCGCAGCCAGAGCATCAGAGCGTCAGAGCAAGGACATCTTGACATCCACTCGATGCTCGAGCGTGTACCTGGTCCCGAAAGCGCTTTCGAGGTCCGTGGCCAAGTGTGTTCGTGCAGTGTGGTTGCGAGACAGATGAGACAGCTGTGCAGAGGACGTGCAGCTCGAGGAGGACTCGATCGTACGAGCACGCCTGCAACTACAAGCAGAATCAGGAGCTTTGCGGCATGTTGAAAGGGAGTCGGAGGTTGCCAGTCGGGTTGAGTGCAGGGGTTGTCAGAGGTTTGTTCAGCTTCATCTCCCAGCAGGGTTGAAAGCCAAAGATCAGGTCCTTTAACAGCAAGCATAAGCTAACCCCACATCTTACATCCTATACCCCCCCCCTACGCTTTCAGCCCATTTCTCAAACCGCCTAACAAATCAACCCTTAAATCCCTCAAAGCACAAAGCACCTCCCAACAATCAATGCAACAATCCCGAAACAAAGCAACCTACCAAACCCAATACAACAATCCAAAACACAACCCAAAACCCAAACAACCTAAA